CTTAAAAAAATTGATCAGAATTGATATACTAGCGAACTCTCAGAAGTTAGCTTCTATTTACAAAAATGCTTGATTATGGTGTCAAATATTTTCCCACCAGTCGACTTCGAAAACTCATGATTTTGAGAGGATGATTGCGTGAAGGGAAGGCGCCTGAGGCTATAGTAATCACACCTTGATATTATTTAAAGMATCATGTGTAAATTAAAAGCCGTTAGTTGAATCTCAGCTGTTGACCAAGAAGGAGATTAGACAGTGACTTTCCCGCAACTGAAAGACCAAAACTTGTGGTAAGGACCTGCTCTACATCATTAATACTCGAATAGAATTGAGTTATTTTATAAAATAGACGACTGTTTTTAATTGCTAGTTATACTTGTAACGAAAAGAGTGAACAAATAAGTCAAAATCAAGCGTGTAGTAATATAGTAATATAACAGTTGGTGATGACTAGAAGTTGCCCTCTTATCGTTATACTTTTTTTTTCCTTTTTTTCAAAAAGTCAGTCTACTTGGAAGCTCAYGCATTGTTTCTGCGATTTATTTAAAAAAAGGTTGTGACAAACCAAGCGGAAGGGAAGGATATCTCTTCTCCGGACTATTTACTGCCAACGAATTTCATTGCTTAAAAACCCGAACAAAGGACGAGTCGTAACGTCACTTTTTCTGTAGTCATGTGTTGGAGCAATTTTAATATACAATTTCACATACTTTTTTACGGTGTTAAATTTATCCTTTTACACAACTGTTATAAAGACATGGATTGTTGTTACTCTTTTATTATCTTAATAGATTACATTTGTTTCTTGTCAAGTCTGAATAGCGAACAATGAATCGAACAAGCCTGTTCTTGATGCTGGTTGCTTTTTGCACTATATGGAGTTGGAACTCTCATGAGGTTGAGGGCCGATGGGCATGCCCCCCTGGCTATTGGAAAAAGTTGAATGAGATGAAGAAGAGCATTAACACGAGTCCGGGTGGTRCTGAAAGCGACGAGAACAGCATGCARGACGTGAAGAGAGCACTGGAAAAGATGATAAAGTTATGCCTGACAAAATGATTTACTGTGACTAACTCTCCTAAATATAAGTTTATTTTGTATCAGCTTGTATGGAGGAATTGTAATCTTATAAGAAGCGAAAATCTAAGATGTTGATAAACTAAATAAACATTCATTAAAATTCATTRATTAAAACTTACTCTTTTTTGCTTAAAAGACTTAATTCAGTTGTAGAGAATTTAAGGACTTTCTTTGGCGAATATACTTTATTCATAAAATTTGTCATATGTATTTTTTTTTTTATTTGGCGAGTGAACTAAGTGTACTACACAGCATTCAGTATTCAATGTTTTCTGGATAGTTGTATAAAGGCTATCTAGCCGGCGTTCCTAGCTGCTCCGAGAGAGCAGCTATAGGAAGTGTTAACGGTCCTTTAGAGAGCGAATAGGATCGTCAAGAATGCTTCGAAGTGAATCTCGTGATTGGTTTAGAAAACAATTGATAAACAAGATGCACTTCCAACCAATAAAACGAAACCTAACCTAATAATGCAGTTTCTGTGCCAACAGAAAAATCAAAAATCAGGTTTTGAAGAGCTGTTTTGACAGCCTTCCGAGTACCAAGACCGGCACATAACTGGCGGATCCACAGCAGGCACCCCATACACTTGTACCCACATTTGCAAAAACATCTAGTCTTTTTAATTCATATTTCCAGGAGAAAAAGGATTTGCCTTTCATTTGTCATTTTCAAAACAACTGGTTTGCTTTCATATTGCTTTCTTAAAGGTGTCAATACAATCAAGTTTACAAGAATTTAACTTAAGATATTGTTTCGCGCGCAAAGTTCGGAAAGATTGACAGCAAGTTTTATCAAAAATATATATATCATATATATATATCCAGCAAAACAACAAAAAACTAAAATTTGAAAAGTGTAAACATCAGACATTTTCATTCAATTATATTTATTAATATTTTTAGCTGATCACATGTGAACCAGACGAATTATTTAAAAAATGTACAACGGTTCGTGAATTTTGTTAACACTCTATGTACATATTGATTYAATGACTGTAAAKGYGATTAGTTTGACTTGCTTCGTGCTGTAGCACGGAGTCTTGCGGGATGGAGTTTGTAAGAGGGACGCTTTAGTGCTTCCTTGAGTCGTCTTTGATAATCACGTTCAGCCTCCTATGAAATTAAAAGAAGGTTACATATTGTTTTATCGTTTTAACAAATAGAGGACATTACATGGGCGCGCGCAAATACGGATTTTATCTTCGAGTGTTGAAAAGATCTCTCACCAGTGAGCGTATAGTGAAATATAAATTAAAATATCTTTGTAAAAGCAGTAGACAAGATTGTTTTTCAAAAGCTTAGTGTCTTTTTCTAGTAGCTTAGTAAATAATTCACTGTTTCTGGTTAAACAAAAAACAACAACAACAACAACAACAACAACAAAAGAAAACGTGCTACTGCATGTGCAATGCAGCGACTTTCTCCGCAACGACAAGTTTTTACTCGTCCTCTTGCTGAAAGTCAATGTACATGTAGTTCACAAATGTTGCGAGCGCTTGAATTAGCTGTACGATCTTGTGTTACATGTAATAGGCAACTACAACATACCTGTCCTAACAGGAATTCTTCCCTTTCTTCATCCTTTTCCTTCTGYTTGACTTGCTTTTGGTAATCAATTTGCATATCAAGGTGATTTTGATAGCTTAAGTTACGTTGTCGCATTCGTTCTTGGTTTTCTCTTTCCATTCGTTCGTGTTCTTTCCATGCACTGATCAAAGCTTCTTTTTCTGCSCGTTCAGCTTCTTGTTGGGCGAGCTCATTTTGTTCTAAAAAGAATCAAAGTTGTTATTTACATAGTGTTATCTTTTATATCACAATTAAGGGCTAGAGTAAGAATGCTTTATGCCTTTAATRAACAGCAACAAAAAATATCGGAACTTCAGAAGCATAAAAATCGTTTTCTTTTTTCAGCTTTGACACTAATTAAAGATGGACTTTGTCCTTAGGTCCAGTGGAATATCACATCGTGATCGAACGCGCCTTAATTAAAGCTGAAGTCATATTTTTTTTTGCTTCTGATTACGCTTATATAGCAATATTTTTGTCTTTCAAACTTACTTCTTTCGTCCATTTGTTCCTGTCTCGTTTTCATGACCTGTTCCATAAGTCTTTTCCTCGCCTCCCTTTCCATTTTATATTGCTCCATTTTTTTAGCCCATTGTTTTTCTACTTCGTCATTAACGTAGGCTTCGAGTGCCTTTTCTTTGTCTTCTTCTTCCTTGCGGTTCATATCGCAGTATTTCATAAAGCGTAGATTTTCTTCACGTAGTTCTTTCTTACGCTGAGWGTCTTCCATTGCCTCGTTTCTTGTGTCTTCTAGAAGCTTCTCTAAGATCTTCATGTCGATGGCTAATTCTTCCTGTTTCTCGCGAGCCTAAATAAGAAAAAAAAAGACACATTAGTCTCTTTAATTTCCCTTTGAGGTATATGAATGCCGTTTGATCCTGGCCCTTTGAACATGGGCACGTTTGATCTGCAAGATTCACSCCATGCACAAACATTGAATAAATTCAATGAAAGTAAAAGTTGGTATGTGCCAATGTTTGACATTGTCATAATGATACAGAATACAAAGATTAAAATTGTACAAAAAACAACAACAACAACAAAACGACAAATATAACCCAGCTGACACCGAGCTGAGGTCAGGTCAAAAAAGATTGACAGYTTGTCAGTAGTTTTAGTGACTTCCTTAAAGGGACGTCACTGTCAATGGATGACATGCGCAGTAACAGTCTCACCTCTAACGGACTTTGAAAGTATTACCTTCGAGGTAAATCATTTTGTGGTGCTTTTGACACACTTTGGAATATTCTAGATCTGTTTACGTTTACGAGCTGATTTATGTCGCGCCAACTTGGAGTCATAAACTTGAAAACACTAGCCTAGTGTTTTCAAGTTTACTCGCGCAAATACTGTAWACAGCAATGCATCTCTTCTTACCTCCTTCTCATTTTTAAGTCTGATAGACACCTCCCTAGCCTTCTTGGCTGCCTGCTGCTTGTGAAGTTTCTCTTCCTTTAAGAATTTCTCTTCTTCTTCTCTCATTKTTTGTTGTTCTTTGAGCCAAACTGCTTCCATTTCTTTTAGTTTAAGTTCTTCTTGCTTTTGTCTTTCAATTGCTTCACTTTGAAGCTCTAGAACCTGAAATATAGAATAATTTTATTAGTAATTCTTATCATTTCCAATGACTATAAGAAAAAAGAGAAACGRTTCTAAGAGAAAAGAACTAAATGAATGATAAAGGGTTTGATGATTCCACCAAAAAAGAGTAACTTACAATTTACAAATGGATAATAATTTCATAAATATAAATCAAACTAGATAAAATTTTACTAATAATTTAACATAAATTATAAAAGAATTCTTACTCGTAAAGTTTCTCTGTTTCTTTCTTGCAGTTCTTGTGCATCCCTTTCTTCTCGTTCTTTCTTTGCTTTCACATCCATTTCCCATAAATCAGCGTACATGTGTTCAATTTCCTGTTCACGTTGCTTTTGAGCTTCTTTCATTCTTAGCTGCTCTGCCCTCTCTGTACACACTTCATCTTGGTGTCGTTTGGAYAGGGTTCCTCGTAATTCTTCACACTCCTCTCTAAAATGAGTAAACAATATTATATCTTTAGTTACTTGAATTACCTCCAACAAAAGTCTCTTAAACACACCCTTCTAAGTTTCCTAATGGAAAATCAAAGGCTTCTTTGGAGATCAATTACAAAATAGTCTTTAATTTGATAAACTGATTCACATACAGTACATATTTTAAGTTAGATTCTGGATCTTCCGATTTTGTTTCAAACTATACCCTTCAGTTTTTGATAGAGTGCACACCACAAAAGCGTGAAATATTTCTTAATAATCAACAACTAATAAGATTTAGTCATCAACTAACTAATTCACTGGGGCATGAACACAATGCCAGAAAAGGAATTTGTCTTTGTTTAACAGGCATGTCGGAATTATGCGCGAAAAAAATCAAAATTATGCGGAATTTTTTCCCTATATTATGCGGAGAAAAGGATGAATTATGCGGAAAATTATGCGGGATGATGTCATCACAAGAACGTAAACTTTGGGAAATTTTACAAATTTTTAAGTTATTGCGTTTCTTTTTCATGCAAAACTCCGTTTTTATCTTAGTTACGAAGTACAGAAGGCAGTACCAACAGAAGGAAAGATCTTTTTAGACTTTTTCGTTCTCGCACGCTTG